GAATCGATGGTCTTCCCCCCTTTGGAGGGTTTCTCCGAAGGGCTTAGGCGACCCGTCCTTCTCCCCCCTGCTCCTCCTCCTCCTCCTCCTCCTCCTCCTCCTCCTCCTCCTCCTCCTCCTCCTCCTCTTCCTCCATCTCCTCCTCCCCCTCCCCAAACTCCACCTCCTCCTCCTCGGGTCGCCTACGGCCCCAGGGGAAACCGTGCACCCCCCCTCATGGCGATCACGGTTGGCTCTCCAAGCTCGCCCACCCGAGGAGAATCGAACCAGATCGCAATCAGGTCGAGGAGAGACCGGTGGGGCGAGAACGTGCTCCAGAGAACGCCCGAGAACGCTGCATCCCGTGGGTCGAACCGTTCTCTCCATTCTTCGCTCGCTCCAGGTGGAATTCCCGAATTAGTCAGAAACAATGTCCTGGATAGAGGGCTGCAGGAGAGCCCCAAGAGCCGTTACAATGGCCCCGAGGGGACCCCACAAGAGGGCCCAAGGACGCCTCCGAGAGGCTCCCAGAGCGTGACTGCATGCTGCTACACATCCCTGGTTTCAGAAAACAGCACCTTGCCTGGTGTTCGGCTTCGGATCTCCTGATCGGGAGATTTTTTGCAGAGGAGGAGCATGGGTAGAGCTCAGGAATGGAGGAGGAAGAAAAAAGGAGGAGGAGGAGGAGAAGGAGGAGGAGGAGGAGGAGGAGGAGGAGGAGGAGGAGGAGGAGGAGTGCCCCGGCGGCGCTTCGGGCAGCACGCTATGCCTTGCTGGCTGATGGCATGTCGCTCCGCTCCGCGGGGCAGGGTCACGTGTCGCGCCGAGGCTTCCCCCCTTGGAGGGTCTCTCCGAAGGGCTTAATTAGGCGACCCCTCCTCCTCCTCCTCCTCCTCCTCCTCCTCCTCCTCCTCCTCCTCCTCCTCCTCCTCCATCTCCTCCTCCCTCTCCGAGGCGTGCGGGGGCCAAAACCCGGAGGAAGGAGCTCCTGCCGGCCCGCGGCGGGCCGGGTCCCCCACGAGCGGTCGGGCCAACGGGCGGCCGCCTCCGCAGCTGACTACCTACCAGACCACCCCAACCCAACCCGAAGACCCGAATTTCGGGTTGGGGGGGGTAAGGGTTCCACGCGTGTTTTTTCGATGTTTCCCGACCCCCCCCCCCACTAGAAATCGAGGGTAAATTTGAGCCTTCGGGTTGGGTTGGGGTGGTTTGGTGGGTGGTGAGCAGCGAAGTACGGCGAAAGCCGGGCACGACGAGAGGAGGAAGCGGCCGCTGAACGGCCAGAGAGCTCTGAAACCATGCACGGCAGGTTCGCGTCGTGTCGACCCCAGCGTCGGTTTCTGACACCGCGGGGATCGTTTCCACCTTGAGCGATCGGCCGTTTCCGAGACGTCGAAATCGTTCCACATCGAACGATTCTGGGTCGCCCGCGGCGTTCAAGGTTGAACGCCGCTGGCGGGGTCGCAGCCGGTCGACACGACACGAACCTACCGTAGATAACCAGCGGATCGACACGCTAAGCCACAATTTCCGACCGCAAAGGGTCGGGGACGCACTGGCCCGCGTCAGCGCAGGCCCAGGTCAGTCAGGCCTTGCAGGACCCTGTAAGATCCTGCAGGGTCCTGCGCGCTAGCGCGGGTTAGTGCGCCCGTGGCTCTGCGGGATCCTGCACGAGCTGGCGTTCTGGCTGACCCCCGTTTGCACTGACCCCCGTCTCAAGGCTCCCGGAAGAGGAGGAGGAGGAAGAGGACGAAGAGGAGGAGGAGGAGGAGGAGGAGGAGGAGGAGGGTGGAAGTGAGAAGGCGAAGGCCTTCTCAGAGGGCGGAGGACTTCTCAGAAGGACCCCGCTTGCACTGACCACCGCTTGCACCGGCCCCCTGACCCAAACATGCGACGTCCTGTTTTGTTCCATGCGGGGTCCCTGGAAGTCCCGACCCGTTCCCCAGGGACCGGCTTTCCATCCTGAGTCGTTTCGTGGACGGTCCCGCGGCCCCGCGAAGGCACCCTGAGGCCGAGATTGGCGAAAAGCCGCCCGTCCTGATTGTTTCACGACGCGATCACGCATGGGCTGACCCCCGGACGAACCTCCCGAGCCGGCCGGCGTGAGGCCAGGCGGCCGCCGCGCTGCCCGAACCACCGCCGAGGCGCGCACGGCAGCGCCCTCCTGGCGCGTCGGGCGTTCCAGGCCGCCTGGATGCACGTGGCGGCCTCGGCGGGGGGGGGGGCGCAGCCCTGAGCCTCCAGGAGGACTAAAGAACTAGAGCCCGGACCTTCGGACTTGAGCTCCTCCTCCTTCTCCTCCTCCTTCTCCTCCTCCTCCTCCTCCATTTCCTCCGCCTCATCCTCCTCCTCCTCCTCTTCCTCCTCCTCCTCCTCCCTCCTCCCTCCCTCCTCAGCGCCTGTGTCACTTGGTCCCCTTCCCAGGTGAGCAAAGGGTTGCAGCCCGATCGTCACCCCGTCCGTGCTTGTCTGGGCGTCGTGGACGACCACTATGTTTGGCAAGGACGGACGGGGGAAAGACTCTTGCATCTCGCCGCCGCGCTTTGCTAGCCCACCCGTTCTCTCCACGGCCAGGGTACCCCACCCTGACGTCCGTTGGGGTGGGCAGGTCGCCTACGCGCAACCCATCGGCCATCGGGGTACCCTCACCCATTCTTCACATGGCCAGGGTTCCCCGCCCTGGCGTGCGCGGGGATCAGAGAAGCATCGCTGGTGGAACGCTTCTTTTCGGGTGGCTTGCTGGGGCGGCACGACCGTGGTGGCGCGTCGTCGTCCGAGGGCAGACGAAGCTCAACAAAACGCGGGGCCAGGAGCGCCTCGTCGTCCGAGCGTGGAGCCGTGCATACGTCGCGCTTGAAGGATGGAGGGCAATTTGGTCCTCAGCTGCCCCGAAGCAACACGCAGCGCATTGACACAGAAGTTTTCAGCACAGAACGTGCTGCGTTTCGGAACGGGCAGGTCGAGGCAGCTAAGGTTTGTCTCCTCGTGCTTGGACTGCTTCTCGCACCGCCTCTGTTTTTCATCAGGCTGGGTGCTGACTTGCTCTGCCCGCTGCCATGCCGATCCCGGCCTTGCTTCGCATAGTCGCTCCCCCGCTCAGGCGGCGCATTTCCACTGTCTGCGGCTGCGCGTGGTCGACTCGCTCTCGACATGGCCAACTGACTTGCCTGTTCGTGTCTATTTCGTGACCCGTCCCCCTGAGCGGCCTCGCTCCCCTCCACCCCCCTTTTCGGCCATTTCCTCGGCCTTTTCCCCTCCTCCTGCATGGCGGGACAATTCGCTACAACGGTGCCTCCATTTAGGTAGCCCCCCGCCATCGCAGTTACTCTGCCTAGCCTTAGGTCGGGCACGTCCCCCTACAGGCTGATCTGGAAGGGAAAAACTCCAAACATTGTCAAACAGAGTCATCAAAAAACAATCCCAGCGTATGTTTGCCTATTTTTGAACATTCCTCAAGGACAGGCCCGGCTCCAGCCGAGCCGCAGACGGAGAAAGCTCGTGTCTATTTGAAGATACCTGCTGTCGGTCAGCGTGCCCAGACCTGCCTATTCTGCCCCAGGGCCAGCAGCCTGTCCTCTTCCCCGCTGGGTTTAGGGGTGTGTCCTCCTGCAGGCGGGTTTTTGGAGAAGAGTGAAAATTAGTCAAAAAACCACCTGGCATCGTCGAGAACGGGTCGTTCCCAGACTACCTTTGACTATGTTTGACACTTCCTCCCGTAGAAGAACATGCGCGACATAACTGAAGGGGCCCTGGGCCAGACAAATTAATACACACAACTAGCAGGTATCCCCAGATGTTCACATATTGTCTGGGCTTCTGCCTTCCCCCCCCACTTCCCATATGTTCGCATATCTTCCTGGGGATCGACGATCCATTGCGTCCGTGTATGATCCCTCCTGCATGACGCTGGGTCGCCCCCTCCATCTCCCGTGATCGGCCCTCTGTGTGGGCACCCTGTCCGGACTGGAGGAGGAGGAGGAGGATGAGGAGGAGGAGGAGGAGGAATATCAGGAATAGCAGATGACGCCACGAAGTGGCCGACCCTCCTCAGTCAGACGAGCCCGCTTCCCAGGCAGGCAGTGCGGGGCGGTGCCTGCTCGTCGGGCTCCGAGATGTGGGCGGCGGCGGGGGCGGCGGGGGCGGCAGAGAGGCGCACACTGGAGGAGGAGAAGGAAGGGAGGTAGGAGGAGGAGGAGGGGGAGGAGGAGAGGAGGAGGGGTCTCGGTCCGTCTCGCTGCTCGCTTAGCCACCGCACCGGGCGGCCTCTCGCGAGCGGCCCGCCCCCTCGGGCAGCGCGCGCCGCCTGCCCTCGCACGGGACAGAGCACGCCTTGCGTCGCAGGGCCGCGGCTGGCACACAACCTCCCACCTCCTCCTCCTTCCTCCTCCTCCTCCTCCTCCTCCTCCTCCTCCTCCGCCGCCTCCTCCTCCTCCGCTCCCTTCTCCTCCTCCTCCTGCTCCTCCGCCTCATCCTCCTCCTCCTCCTGCGCCTCGTGACACTTGGCACCTCGTGGCATGAATGTTCCTCAGAACGCCCTCCTCCTCCTCGCCCCTTCCCCTCCTCGTCCTCCTCCTCCTCCTGCTCCTCCTCCTCCTGCTCCTCCTCCTCCTCCTCCTCCTCCTCGTCCAGCCTGCTCTCCAGCCGGGCGCTGCCCAGAAGGGCCGAGCAATGCGCCGATCAGCGCCTGAGGCCCCGACGGCGATGCGCCGCGCGAGGAACTCTGGCAAGAAGGGGACCTTGCAGGGTCCGGCGGGGATGAGAGAAGACATTGGGAGGAGGAAGAGGAGGAGGAGGAGGAGGAGGAGGAGGAGGAGGAGGAGGAGGTTGAGAAACAGGGGGAGAAAAGGATGGGGAGGATTGGGAGGGGGGAGGATGGAGGAGGAGCTACGACAAAACAAGACAATACAAGACAAGGCAGGCAAGACAATACAAGACAAGACAAGACCTGGGCACCTGCTGTCTGACTTGTCTGGCTGGTCTGGCAATTCCACATCCAGCTCACCTATCTGACGGTTTTTGTTTCCGCCGCGCGGGCCCGCTCGCGGGAGGGCAGCTCGATCTCTCTGGCGCGGCCGCGACCGCGGCCGGCGGCGACGGCGACAGGAGGAGGAGGAGGAAGGGGAGGGTCGGAGGGGGATGGGGTCGAAGAGGAGGGCGAGCGAAGCTGGCACAGCCAAAGCACGCCGGCGAGCGAGTACCAGGGATCGACCTGCTCTCGTTTTGCTGTCAGTCCAGGCCGCCTCTGCAACAAGGCGAAGTCGAGGCGAAAACGGCCCACGAGATCGTCAGGACACCGTCTGGTCTGGTTCGACCCCTGGTTCAGTGCTGCTCGCCGGCGCGTGGTGCCCCACCACGGGAGGCAGCGGGCAGACGCAGGCGGCGCCGAGCCGGAAGATATAGCATTCGCGCGAGGGGCTGTGGAGGAGGAGGAGGAGGAGGAGGAGGAGGGAAAGGAGGAGGAGGAGGAGGAGGAGGAGGAGGGGGAGGAGGAGGGGGAGGAGGAGGGGGAGGAGGAGGGGGAGGAGTGGGGCGGCGCACACCGCCCCCACCAGGGGCTGTTCAAAAAAAAACCCTCGGGCGCCTGCGCCATGCGCTCGGCGCGCTGGCCGCGGGCGGCGGGTCGGCGGGGAAGGGGCGCGACAGGCAGAGGGGAGGAGCGACGGCCGAGCGCACTGTCGCCGTGGCGGCTGCGAGTGCACAACGAAAAACGCGGCGGCACTGCCGCCAGCTGCCCCGCCGCCCTCCCCGAACTGCCCCGCCCCCCCCCTCCCGCGGAAGGAGGGTGGCGGAGGGTCCCGCACGGGACGGGTCGGCCAGAAGGGGGAGCTGCCTACCGGGAGCCCTTGAACTTCGGGGCCTGCAGGACGCCGAGCACGGCGGCGAGCACGAAGAGGGCCACCCCGCCGAGCCCGAGCACGAGGGCGGCCACGGGGCCCGCAGGACCCTCGATCGAGGAGAAGGACACGAACGCCGCGGCCAGCAGGGCCACCGCGCCGGCGCCAGGCACGGCGGCGGCGAAGGTGTCCGACGACGTGCCCTCCACGGCGGACAGGACCCTGGTGCGCTCCAGCGTGCTCAGGACGCCCTGCTTCTCGGTGAGGGTCAGGGGCCGCGTGATGCCAGCCGCCGACGCGACGGAGGCCGCGAGGGACAGCAGGCGGTTCTCCTCGAGGAAGGACAGCAGGCGCCTCTGCTGCAGCACCGTCAGCAGCGAGACCGGGGTCTTCTGCTTGACCGTGTCGAAGTCCCCTTCCGCTCATTGAAGACGAGGACGCTCGAGTCGACGTCCAGGTCGACCGTCCTCCTAGTCCCCGACGTGATGCCCCCGATGACCACCGCGGCGCCCAGCGCGACCAGGGCCGGCAGCCCGAGGCCCCCGGCGAAGACCCCCCGGGTGAACTCCACGTCCTGCTCCACTTCCGCGGTGCCGACGGCGAAGGCTGCGGCTGCCAGCGCAAGGCCGGCGGCAGCAGCCTTGGGCACCGTGCCCTTGTCGGTGAGCACGTCCTCGGCCAGGGTGAGCAGGCCCTTGTCCTCCAGGAACTTCAGCAGGCCCAGCCTCTCCGGCAGGTCATATGCGGACGCCGGCCTCCTCGGCCGCAGAGAGCAGGTCCCAGCTTCTCAGACCGTCGACAGCAAGCCTTTCTGCTCCAACACCTGGACGAGGCTCGGCTGCCCGGGCAACGCGCGCACGGCCACCGGGCCCCTGCGGCCGAAGGCGCCTCGGAGCGCAGCGCCGGAGGCGGCCAGCACGCCCACGCCGAAGGCCGCGCCGAAGACGGCGCCGGGGGCCTGCGCGCCCAGAGGCGCGCCTGGGCGCGGCCCCGCCCTGGCGGCGCCGCCTGCCGCGGCGGCGGGCGGGCGCCGCCCCGGCGAGGGGGCGGAGACAAAGGCTCCCGAGAGGCACCCGCAGGACACCCAGAGGATGACTACCTACCAGACCACCCCAACCCAACCCGAAGACCCGAATTTCGGGTTGGGGGGGGTAAGGGTTCCACGCGTGTTTTTTTCGATGTTTCCCGAACCCCCCCCCACTAGAAATCGAGGGTAAATCTGAGCCTTCGGGTTGGGTTGGGGTGGTTTGGTGGGTGGTGAGAGGAGGCCAGAGGCCACGGCGGCCGACAGCATCGAGGAACCGCCGCTCATCGCAGCCAGCTCGTCGGGAAGCGGGCGAGGGCCCTCGGGCGCGCGCACGAGGCGGCGCGCAGCAGAGAGGGGCGGGGGCAGCAAAAGCTTGAGCCAAAATGGCTACGGCAGCGCACCTATCTGACTGGTGATGCCGGCGAGCGTTGCAAATGTCGCTGGTAGCTTCAGCGCGCGTCTCGGGACAGCCTGCGGGATCCACAAAATGCAAGAACAGATTATCCCGGCAAAGCAATCTAACAGCGATGTGTAGAAGCATATATGGAAGCATTCCCCTTAAGATTCAGATGAGAATCCAGTTGTAGAGTTCTGCTGTTCTCGCAGTCGCAGTCGCATTCGCGATGACAGTCGCAGTGGCAGCGGCAGTCGCAGTCACAGCCTCAGCCTCAGCCTGCCTCAGTATCAGCCTGCCTCAGCCTCAGCCTCAGCCTGCCTCAGCCTCAGCCTCAGCCTGCTTCAGCCTCAGCCTCAGTCTGCCTTCAGCCTCAGCCTCAGCTGCAGCCTCAGCCTCAGCCTCAGCCTCAGCCTCAGCCTCAGCCTCAGCCTGCCTCAGCCTCAGCCTGCCTCAGCCTCAGCCTCAGCCTGCCTCAGCCTCAGCCTCAGCCTGCTTCAGCCTCAGCCTCAGCCTGCCTTCAGCCTCGGCCTCAGCCTCAGCCTGCCTCAGCCTCAGCCTGCATCAGCCTCAGCCTCAGCCTCACCCTGCCTCAGCATCAGCCTGCCTCAGCGTCTGCCTCAGCCTGCCTCAGCCTCAGCCTCAGCCCTCAGCCTCAGCCTCAGCCTCAGCCTGCCTCAGCCTCAGCCTGCCTCAGCCTCAGCCTCAGCCTCAGCCTCAGCAGCATCAGCCTGCCTCAGCCTCAGCCTCAGCCTCAGCCTGCTTCAGCCTCAGCCTCAGTCTGCCTTCAGCCTCAGCCTCAGCCTGCCTCAGCCTCAGCCTGCATCAGCCTCAGCCTCAGCCTCAGCCTGCCTCAGCATCAGCCTGCCTCAGCCTCAGCCTCAGCCTGCCTCAGCCTCAGCCTCAGCCTGCTTCAGCCTCAGCCTCAGTCTGCTCAGCCTGCCTCAGCCTCAGCCTGCCTCAGCCTCAGCCTGCCTCAGCCTCAGCCTCAGCCTCAGCCTCAGCCTCTGCCTCAGCCTGCCTTCAGCCTCGGCCTCAGCCTCAGCCTGCCTCAGCCTCATCAGCCTCAGCCTGCCTGCCTCAGCCTCAGCCTCAGCATCAGCATCACCATTCTCAGCCTCTGCATCAGCATCAAAATGTGGCCCGGGAATGGAGTTCTGGGAACTCGAAGAGCACGAAGTGGCCTACAGTTGGCTCCGGGCATTCAAAATGTGGCCCGGGAATGGAGTTCTGGGAACTCGAAGAGCACGAAGTGGCCTACAGTTGGCTCCGGGCATTCAAAATGTGGCCCGGGAATGGAGTTCTGGGAACTCGAAGAGCACGAAGTGGCCTACAGTTGGCTCCGGGCATTCAAAATGTGGCCCGGGAATGGAGTTCTGGGAACTCGAAGAGCACGAAGTGGCCTACAGTTGGCTCCGGGCATTCAAAATGTGGCCCGGGAATGGAGTTCTGGGAACTCGAAGAGCACGAAGTGGCCTACAGTTGGCTCCGGGCATTCAAAATGTGGCCCGGGAATGGAGTTCTGGGAAGTCGAAGAGCACGAAGTGGCCTACAGTTGGCTCCAGGCATTCAGAATGTGGCCCGGGAATGGAGTTCTGGGAGGTCGAAGAGCACGAAGTGTGTCTGTTTGCGAAAAACGAATTCGGACACGAGTTCGGACACAGCTCCCCGGATGCCGCCCCACCCCGACCCCCCTGTGGAGTCATCTGCTGCTCTCTTTTGATTCCACTAGAAGCCTATCAGCAAAAGCTGTTAGGTAACTTTCTGGCCCGCGTCGGCACGAAAGCGCACGTATTGCTCTGAGCTGCGAGGCGCAGGAACGCTTGGAACTGCCTCGAACCTCGGGGCTTTCAGGCGTGAACCAATGGGGGGCGCTCGAGTGCGGGGGAAGGACGGTGCACTTTTCGGGCCGTGAAGGCCCCGCGTGCCCGAAGGGGCCCCTTCAGGGGCCCCAAAGGGCGCTCCTTTTCTGCAGCCCTCGCCCCCCCCCCCCCCCCCATTGCGCGAGGCCCAGGGCTCCGTGTGCGGGAGAGGGCCGTGTGGGGAGCATGGCCCTCTTGCCTCTCGGTGGGGGGGGATGTCCGCGCCACCCCGAAGAGAGGGGGCGAGGGCGGGCGGCGCGCAGGGCAGGAAGGGGGGGGATCGGATGCTCCTTCTGGGGGAACTTCCCGGAGCCACTCGCCCCATTCGTGCGTCGAAGCTGCGCCGACCGTCCGTCGACTGGAGTCGAACCTCAGTCGAACCTGAGCCGCGCCTGAGTCAAGCCTGAGTCGACCCTGAGTCGAACACGAATCGACCCTGAGTTGAACGCGAGTCGAACCTGAGTCGAGCCTGAGTCGAACTGGAGACGAACCGGAGTCGAACTGGAGCCGAACAGATCCGTCGGGTGGGCCCCGGGCACCCAAGGGGGAGGGGAGCGCGAACGGGCGAAAATAGAGGGTAGGAGGGGGGGGGGGCATTTGGGGGTGGGCCAGGCCAGAGGGCGGGGGGTTGGCGTGGCCCTGGACCGAGAAGAGAACGAGCGAACGAAAACAGAGGGTCGGGGGGTCGGGGGGCACTGGGGGTGGCCCAGGCCAGAGGGGGGGGGGGCGCTTGGGCTTGGGGCCCTGGAGCCCGGAGGGAGAGGGCCACGGCCCGAGGGGGGGGGGGGGGGAGCAGATGGGGGCCCGCGGCCCGAGGCGGGGGGCGGTGGGGCAGGCCAAGGGCCCTGGGCCCAGGGGTCGAACAGGGGCTGTGTTTGTCCGTCGAACCCACGGGGAAAAAGCACGCAGAGAGGGCTCCGTAGCTCGACAGACAGTTTTCAATCTTTTTGGGGGTTGCTGGGCTCGGCGAAGCAGCAACTTTGGGGTCGTCGATCCTCTACTGGAGCAGGGGGGCAGGCCAGGGGCGGGGAATGGGGGGCAGGGAGAAGGGCGGGCCCGGGAGCGCAGAAGACGAGCGAGCGAGCGAGCACTGAGATGCCCGGGCGCGGGGGCGGGCAGGGAGACGGGGGACCCAGGAGCGAAGAGGACGAGCGAGCGAGCGCCTCTCAGAGCGCTCCGGAACGCTCCGAGAGCGGTCCGGAACGCTGTAGGACGGATGTATCCTCGTCCTAGCCGCGTACGGTTACTGTGCACAACGGGACAAGCATCCAAGCCAAAAGGCCTGGAAATGAACACCAACACCAATCCCCGGGGCTGCCCCCACCAGGGGAAGATGATCCTGGTTGCTGGTGCTGGATGCGCGTTAAGGATGCAGGGGAGGGCCATGTCGGCACTTTGCAGGTGGGGCGCGGCCAACAAAGGTGGCCACGGATGGGCCGAGGATGGAAGGCTGCAAAGGCTACCTTGGGAAAGTTACATATCCTTCCTATGCGGATTGGCTGCAAAACTTTTGAAGGCCTGGATATGAACACCAACGCCTACCCGTGGGGTTGCCTCCACCAGGCAAAGATGATCGTGGCTGTCGGTGCCTAGCGGTAACCTTTCGGCCACCTGGGGAGTTCGAATATTGCCACCATCGCCGAGATAGGGATCATCATCTCCCAATGGACGCACACCGCCGATCTTGGTGTTTGTGCCAACCTCTAGGCCTCCGATAATCACTGCGCGCAGGGGGAAACTCATCCTAGCCCAAAACCCCCAGACAATCCCGCGGACGATCCAGACAAACCATGCCGATGAAGAGTGACAGAACAGCCCGCCCTGGACAACCCCCCAACCCGGCAGGGATCCGGACAACCCAGCGGGCAATACCCAAGTGCACAAGGACGAGCCTCCCAGGGATTTTTCTTCCATCGCGTGCAGCATGGGCCTTGAAGCATGGGAACTCAACCACAAACAAGCGGGCTCGAAATTCGAACGCCGGGGCGTCTGCGGCTCTGTTTTGCGGCGGCAGCCCCCCAACGCCTGAACGGTGGCCGACTCGGCGCCTTTGAGACGCAGGCTGCGACGGCTGCGACCCCAAACTTCATTAGACGGATGGCCCGAGCTGGCGCGCAGTCTCTTGAGCATGGCCAGATCGGCTGGCTTGCAGCAGGCAGCTGCTTTCCTTGTGAAACTAATCGCGCCGACCCCGATCCGGCTGCCCACGGTCCCGTCGATCCGCGCGTCATGTGCATGGGCGATGTCATCTCCGCCGCCCATGAGGTCTGGGCCCCAACGGGCTCGCCCGTCTCTCCCAGGGACGCGTCATCGTTCACGCGGGCGGCGGCCTGCCCCTTCGACTTCGCCACTATGAAGGGCGACGAAGAAGGGCCGCAGTCCACCTCGCAGGCGCGACGCCCACGTTGCCGGCGAATGATCTGCTCGACGACGCGCGCCACCGCCTGGCAGAACTTGGAAGGTAAGCGCCAGACCG